GTGCTATTGTCTATTGTGTATATGTAATGCTCATGTCATGGGAAATGTGACAGTCCTAGCTAAAATTGCGGTTAATCCAGCCTTCTTCTCTTGTTCAGTGGCTCTTCCTGCACTTCCTCTCTATCCCTCTCCTTAAGCCTATCCAATAGCTACAAATAGTTCCTACTCAATTTTCTATACTCGTTCCTCCTATTCAGGATGTTGTCTGTTTAAAAAAATTCTAGACTACCTAATCTTACGCTTTAATGTAAAATCCCCGTAAACCGCAAAACGTTGTATTTTGGACAAATCTATTGAGTGTCCTGTATCAGCAAGGTCATATTTTTGGATCCATAGGCCTCTAAAAGTGGTTTTGCGTTCGTGACAGGTCTCTTCCACATAGACCTTACCACATGAGCACAAAACCCTGTAACAGCCTCACTATCGTGACCAATGACTAATGGTTTCAGGCCAAGACGATGTTCGTCACATGAAGGGCAAAGGCTCAGCACTGAGTCATTCGGCTCGTAGGACGATGAGCCGGGGTCTTCTTCGCACAATTCAACAGACCAAAGTCCAAGGAAACTTTCTTGCGGCATTCAGTGAGGCCAATCTACGAATCCCTTCTACCCGCATTCTCAAACAAAATGAAGATTATGCTTAAGGGATTCTTCGTCACCCAGCTTGTGATGCTTGGATAGTATTAAGGAGAGAGAGAGAAAGGAAGTGTAGGAAGAGCCAGTAAACAAGAGAATGAGCCTGGATTAGCCGCAATTCTAGCTAGGACTATCACTTCCCATGACATGAACAGTACATAAACACAATAGACAATAGCACAAGCCTAAATAAGATTCAGCATTAGAGGATCGTACACTAGTTAATTTGTGTAAGGAAACAGTTGTCACCGAACGCACTTCTGGTTCAAGAAATAACTTCATTCCTTTGCAAGGAAGTGGAGTAAGACTGAAATAGCCAACCAAACCATGGGATGTAACATTAAGATCGCGAAATCATAAGTTTAAAAAAGCGACTAGGGCTGCAGCCGGCCACTTTTTCTCTTGGCCCAGTATATTTTTGCTTTGTTTTGTGAAGCATAGATTCCTGCTCTTATGATGTCTGTCAAGACGATACAGAGAAAAACTTAGCACAGGTTGATCGGGGTCGCAGTAGGCCGAGGACTTCTTTGCGCAATTAAACAGTCTTCCCTACGTGGCAATCCTCCTTCGGTTTCCAGTGAGACCACATCACGAATTCCTTCCAACCAGCTTTTACTTCGAAATGGAAAGTCATGTCATAATGCTGATTACTCCCTATTCCAATGTCCTGTTCATCAGATTTATTTGAAATAAGATTTCACAGCTTCTATAATTTTCCTTACTCTGGTATTTTTCCCATATTAATCCAGTTTTTCCGTTGAACTTATGTGGCAGGTAAGGGCGATGTGTTCAGCTATCTATGATCTTTCATAGTTAAGTTTCACAAGGTCTCAGTGATGCTCTGACCAAGTTACGAATACAAAGTCAATACACAATGAAGATAAAGAAGACTGAGATCAAATTGAAGACCATACCATCGTGGTCTTTATATTAATGATATATTTTATCTATATATATTTGAAGATTATCTCTTAATTAGGGTTGAGGAAAGAAAGATAGAACCCTCACCCATATTAGTCAGAATTATGCAACTGGTGGAAAAAATAAAGAGAGGATATCGAGTTTAGTAAAAATAAGTTGGGCTAAAGCAGAGACGCTGAAAGTGCAAGTTGGAGATAAATTATAGGAATTAAACCGAATAATTCAGCCTTAATAGGCCATATTTTAAAAGAAAGGGACATAGAATAAAAAAAAGTACACAACATTTATTCAAAGGATCAACTTTTTGAAGTTAGTCAAAGGCAAATAAAGTTTTTATTTTACTATAAAAATATTTACTGATATAAACGAAACGTACCTCGGTATGCGATACATCAGAAGTGAAGTTGGTAGTAGAAGATTCAGTAAGATCTG